TGGTGCCCCTCGGCATAGTGGCGCTTTCTGCCTCTCTCCCCGCCTTCAGCACACACCTTCCGTCTTTTGTGCTCAAGGCCTGTGGTTGCTGTGAGAAATGCTGCTGATTTGATGCTGAAGGTTGTACAGAAGAAATCCTTGCATAGGTCCTGGTCCAGTTTCTTATCAAAGATTAGGACTAGAAAAATCGATGTCGTAGACATGTATTTCAGTAGTGAACAATTCTTTTGTCTTTGGGCACCCAGAAGGTCAAATGCAGCCTGTACACACACACACACACCCATGAGCCTGTGCACACACAGGCTCACACACTAGGGCAGTGGTCGGCAAACTGTGACTCGCGAGCCACATGCAGCTCTTTGGCCCCTTCAGTGTGGCTCTTCCACAAAATACCGACTTCTGCGCAAGGGCCAAGAAGTTTCAGTCGCACTGTACGTGCGCACCCGCACGTGGTATTTTATGGGAGAGCCACACTCAAGGGGCCAAAGAGCCGCATGTGGCTCGCGAGCCACAGTTTGCCGACCACTGCACTAGGGGAACCCACGCTTAGATGCACACACTGACACTACTCTGCCCTTCCGTCTCAGATGTGCCAGGGGCAGGCCTGCTCCTCTCGGCTTTTCCCTCTGAGTGAAGACTTCTAGTTCAGAACCTCCCAGCTCTGGGGAAATACTCATTAGATCCGTTTGCCTACCTGCCGAGAACATGCTCGATCTTTTAAAAGCGCCTTATTTCAAGAAATGCTGGGGACCCCTGTGTATCCCGAAGCCGCCCGAAAGGTGTAGCTGCAGGATTCCGGAGCCCTCCTTGCCGACTGCAGCTCTCAGAGGGTGTGTGTGTGTGTGTGTGTGTGTCCTTCCTCAGCTTCCTGCCTGCTAGCTATGTCACCACAGACAAATTACTTAACCTCCCTGTACCTCGGTTTCCTCATTTGTAGGTAATAACAGCACTTCCCTTGGAGGGTTGTTGTGGGGATGAAGTCAGGTGTGCATGTGCCTGGTTTACCAGGGCATCAGGCACACAGTAAATGCTCCATAAAAGCTGTGGCTGCTATTATTCCTAGTCCCCCACTCATCTAATCTCTCACCTGTTCATGTTACCAGTGGAAGCGGGTATCCCTTTCCCCACTGAGTGCTGAGGGTGGTGTCCTTACGATATTTTTTTGAGGCTGGTGCAGGAGGATGAGCTATTTTCATTTAAGCGGAATTACCTCCCCCAAGTGGCTGGGTATCCAAAGTCCCATTTCCCTTAGTCCAGTCCTGGAAGAAGTGGAGTTGGGGCTTCATAGAGCTGGAAGCAAAGTCAGTGCCCAAGTTTCCATATGGCAGCCGGGGCCAGGTCAGCATCAGGCTAGTTGCCGTCTGTTAGTCCTTTGTGTGCGGATGAAGGGCAGCCAAGGAGCACGCCCCCTGCAGCAAGAGACCCAGCCAAGAGCATCAAGGGGGCCAAGAGCCCAGAGAGCGAATCCTTTGTTCAGGGCTTAAATATCTCAAATCTTGGGCCACTTGCAGTGGCCATGCCTACTCTGGCCAATGCCCTGTTCCCAGGTGTGACTGACAACAAGCACCTTTGCAAGTCCCCCCAACTCTACTGGACATGCATCTCTCTTTGCTGCACCCCTGGGGAGTGTAAAGTTTTAGCTTCCTGGTGAAGCTGCCCACATGACATGCCCATAATATTTGACCTTCCTTTTGCTCCTTCCCTGTTATTAATAACTAGGTTAATTAAAACGGTATAACTTAGACACACACACACACACACACACACACACACACACACACACACGGTGCTTGGGGAGGCGATGCTCAGAACCCGGCCTGGCCTTCCATTGGACGGCTCTTTCCCAGGTTGTGAAAGCACCTGGTATCGTTTTCTCACTTTGCCTCATAAAGCCTGAGGGGAAGGAAGGCGGGATTTATTGGTTCCATTTTTTTAAAAGGGAGGAAATAAAGGTGCACAAAGGACACAAGGTGTGCCTGTAAAAACTCACTGCCGTGTGTTTACTCACACACACGCACACACACACACACTCACAAGCACACACACGCACGCATGCAGGAAAACACCAGCAACTGAGGAGGGTACAGGAAGATGGTGCTCTGTGACACGGTCCTGTGTGGCCATTAAAACCTCACACCCAGCATTCTTCCTGGACGTGGGGACGCCTCAGCTATGACATTAATGTGCACAGGAAGACACATTACACAGCCGGGTGGTGGGGGGGCAACAGGCCAAAGTATCAACCTTGTTCCCAATGGGAGGTTGTACTTGCCTGGTTTTCTTTCCAATATTCGCTCCTGTATGTTCCAAGATGTCCATGGGGGGACTGTATTGTTGTTATAATTAAATAAGAAAAATAAGCTATTGAGTTACAATTACTCCCCTGAGGGCTTGCAGCCGCCAGGGGGCAGAGCCCTGCCCTGGGTCTGTCAGCCACGAAAGAGAAAGTGACTATTTCCACCACCTCGGGGCCGGCCTTTGGCACCCACACTCCCCAAGGAAATGAATCAACTGTCAGACACCAATAATTGCACTTCCAAGACCTCCTGCCAAACTAGACTTGACACTGACCCTCACTCTCTCAGCATTATCGTCCGAGAGAGAGGGGAAGGTATCTGGCCCCTTTCACAGGGAAAGTCAAAATCACAGTCTGAGTTTATTGAGCACCTACTATGGGCCCATGTCCTCCACTCGCATAGCAGGCTGCGGGGGGGGGGGGGGGGCAGCCATTGGAGCACACAGGAGCCAGCACCCATGCTGAGCCCCAGTGGGCTCCCCTGAGTGAGACTGGGGAGAATGTCCCCACAGAGGCCCGCTCTGTGAGGGCTTAGCCCTGGAAGGAAAACCAAGGGATGATTTCACAATCAGCTTCTCCGAGACTGAAGACTGGAGCCCTCGGGGAGACTGCTGTGGCCTTCCCTTCCTCCCAGAGCCGTGGTGAGGGTGCCTGAGACCCAGAGGGTAAAGTGGGGTCACAGCTCCTGGCTCTCATGAGTGCCCTCTCTATTGACCAATGCAGAACTGAGCCGGCACTATCTCATTCACTCCTTCAGCAGACCATGACTGATCACCTGCTGAGGGAGGACCAGGCACCCTTCTGGTGAGCAGCACCAACAAGGCCCTGCCCTCATGGGGTTCACTTTCCAACGGAGCGAGACAGGTGACAAATGAACCAATGGTCAGGAGAGTCATTTCAGATTGTAGTAAGTGCTCTAAAGAAAATAAAACAGGATCGCACTTGTAATTTGCAGAATGATGCCTCTCAAAGATGCCCAAGTCCTAAACCCCGGAGCCTGTGACTATGTAATATTAATCACACGCCGAAAAGGAATTAAAGGGTTAAGTGGAATTAAGGTTGCTACGCTGCTGGCTTTAAGACAGGAGAGTGTCTTGGAGAAGCCAGGGGCCCCACTGTACTCACAGGTCCTCAAGAGCTGTGAAGAGAAAGGTAGAGGATGTGACCTTGGAAGAAGGTCATGGAGATGCCACACAGCTGGCCTTGAAGATGGAAGAGGGGCTTTGAGCCAAGGAGTGGGGGAGGCCTCGGGAAGTGGAAAAGGGCCGGGAAACATTCTCCCTGGAGCCTCCAGAATGAATGCAGTCCCGCCAACACCTGGAATTTAGCCCCGAGAGACCTGTGTCAGACCCCTGACCTACAGAACTGTGAGCTATACACTTGTGCCCTTTAAAGCCACTATTTGTTACGGCACAAACAGGAAACTAGCAGAGCCCCAAAGCTGGCTCCTGCGAGAGGTTTCCCTGACCGTCTGCTGAATGAAGAAAGTTCCCCTGCTACTTGCTGTTCCTTGGGTTCCTTCACAGAACTTACCAGAATTTTAACTTACTGATTCCATTGCTTATTTACAGTAAGCAACAGGGGTGGAGGGCCTCCCTGAGGAGGTGACAGTGGAGGTCAGATCTGATTACTAAGAAGCACCAGGCCTGAGCTGAACTGTCCAGGCTGGGGAGAGGGGAGGAGAGAAAACAAAAAGGAAGGGGAGGAGAGGGTAGGGGAGAGAAGGAGAGGAGAGGAGAGGAGAGGAGAGGAGAGGAGAGGAGAGGAGAGGGGGGAGGGGAGGGGAGGGGAGGGGAGGGGCGGGGAGGGGAGGGGAGGGGAGGGGAGGGAGGGAGGAGAGGGGAGGGGAGGGGAGGAGAGGAAGCAGTGGGAGCGTACATAAAACCAGGCCCAAGACCAGTCAGGAAGCAAGAAAGCATGGCCTGTCCTGGACGTGCCCCCAGGGGACCCACCTCCCCTCCCCAGGAACCAGTTGGACAGCCAGAAGACAGGCCTGTCCCCGGAGCCTCATCCTCCCACCAGCTCCTAGCTACGCGTCCTTATTTGCTGAGCAGCTACTTGACCTCCTGTCCCTGGATATTCATTTCAGGCCGCACATCCTCTCTGGAAGCAGTCAGGGTAGAAATGACCGAGTACAGAAGCATCCCAGCCCCAAACAAGTGAGGAAGGCCCGCAGGAGCCAGGGTAAAGGGGCCTCCTGGGAGAGCACTTGTCCTAAGGGGAAAGGGCTCCAGCAATAACAATCATGAGAAGTGACAAGTGGGGGGAGGAAGGGCTGTTGACTCTGGAGTGGGGGACACTGAGCCCCTCTAAATGCACCTGGAGTCCTAGGGAAAGAGGCATTAAACCCACACTCACTGCTGCACTGGAATTCTAGCCCCTACTGGCCTCTCTGTTCTTCCTCCCTCCAGTAACTTCTAATTCCAGGTGCCGCGGTGCCCCAACGACCACACTACTTTCTCTCTGTTCCTCACTCCAGATCAGGAGGGCCCCTTTTCAGCATCCAGGCTCACTCTCACTCTCGGCCAGCCGTCCCTTCCACCCTCCCTCCTGTGCTGCCCCACCCCACACACAGGCTGAATGGGCCTCCGCCCCAGGCTCACCACCCCCTTCCTCCAGCAGCTCCGCCCTGCCCCAGGGCCTCAGCAGGTGACAGCAGCTTCGCTAACACTCCTCCAAGGCCCCCACTTCCTCCCCAGGCCTGGAAGGTGGTCTGCATCGGACTTGTTTTTGGGGGGCAGGGTTTTGTTGTGTTGTGTTTTGCGTTTTCAGGCAGAGACTGTGGTATATCATTCCCAAGCTGCTTACATTCCCAGCCGAACCTCCTCTGCCAAGGCCAGGGCTCTGTGGGGAGGAAACACTCACCTGGGCCCCAGCCAGGGCTCACCCCGAGGGGCTCCCGGGCCTGGCGAGACCAGAGACTCATTTCCTGCCAGGGAGCCCTGAGGTTAACTTCCTCCTTCCGGGTGAGGCGTTTAAGAGGGCAGGGAGAGTTTATGGCAGGCCTCTCAGAAGGAGGGCAGCGCCTGGGCAGGGCCAGGTGGAGCTGGCCACGGAAGGTGATCCATGAGCCGCTTCATCTTCCCTCCGGGCCTGCTGCATCCACAGGGCCCGCCAGGAGGCCCCAGCCCCTCCGAGACCGGAAGCCAGACCCTCTGACAGGGTGGTGGTCGCTGGCTCAGGGACTTGAGACCCCAGCTGGACCCTCCTGCCTTCTTTCTCCACTGAAGCAGGGAAGTGGGAGCTCGAGCCCTCAGGTACGTTCCTGTCGGAAGGCAAAGGGCAAGACCTCTGGGTCACATTACTGAGGGGAAGGCAAACGAAGGTGGGCGGGTAGCAAATACGGAGAGAAAGACGAAGGGAGAGGAGGGAACCACAGCGTGAAAGAGATTTCTGAGATCAGACTGAGGAAGGTGATTTTATCGGAGGGGCCAATTCTGGCAGTTAGTGGAGGACGGAGACCAGGATGTGAGGCGCTGAGGCTGGGTTCAGGCTCGGTGCAAAGTGTGCCGAGCCGTGATTAATTATCCGTGTCTGCCTAGCTAAGGGCCCAAGAATGAGGTGGGGCTTGCAAGCCAGGGATTTGATAACCCACATGGCGGGCTCTTTTCCTTAACCACCGTAACCACAGAGGCCCTTGGCTATTTCTTCATTCGTTCACTCATCTAGTCACTAAAAAAAACACTTGACCTTCAACTATGAGCCACACAAATATTTGAAGAATGAATGAAGTAAGGAGGAATGTTGTTCTTTGGCCCCAGCTCTCATTTTTCTCAAAAAATCATGGTCTGAAAAGTTACAACAAAGGTTCATGGTCTTGAGGCGTTTGCTAGCCATGTGATGTCAGACTAACCCCTTCCTTTGATTAAGACTCAATTTTCTCATCTGTAAAATGGGAGTGATCGTCAGGATATCCCCTCTTAATCCCTGTAGTTCTCACTGGCATCTAGGATAATAATCACTAAACACCTATACTAGCCAGGCTCTGTGTAAGTGCTCCCTGTATAATAACACCTTTAATCTTCATGTCACCTCTCTGAGGAAGGCACCATTACTACTCCCATTTTGCAGGTGGGAAAGCAAGGCACTGGGAGATTAAACAGTTTCCCCGGGGCCGTGCTCCGCCGCAGTGTGCTCTGTGAGGCAGCTGATGCTCCCTCCGTGGCTGGAAGAGGCTGGTGCAGGCGCCTCTTCCCAGACGATCCCTTCAATGAGCAGTTCAGCCTACATATCAGACAAGCAAGGATTCGATTATTAAAAAGACAGGAGAGCAAAGCAGACGTGGTCCTAGCCTGGAAATGAAACAACTTGTACAGGTGGTCATTTCAAATCAGTTTTGACAGGAGCCGTAGAGGAGACAGCCCGGGAATCAGGACAGACTTCTCTGGGATTACATTTGCAGGGGAATGCTAGCAGGGGTAGGAGAGCAGGATGGGTAAGCACTTGGCACACAGCAGAATCCAGGAGGAGGGGGGGAGGGGGGAGCGGGAGGAGAACTCTGCAGAGGAGGCTGGAGCTGGTGGTGGGAGGTGAGGTGGCAGCGAGGTGGCCACTCCCAGGCCAAGCACGGCTCCCTCATCCAGGAGCACAGGTAAGCGTTTAACCTAGATTTGAGGTCTCCCTAAGGAAGACTTCCCAGAGGAAGCGACTTCTACTCTGAGACCCTCAGGGAGAATAGGAGTGTCCCAGGCAAAGAGGCCGAAGAACAGTGTTCAGACAGAGGGCCCAGCAATGCAGAGGCTCAGGCTGCTCCAGAGAGCGTCTCGCTCACAGCAGTATCCCCCGCGCCCACGGCACAGCCTGCCGTCCCACCCGTGCTCAGAGAATGCTTCCGGATGAAATCCGAAATTGGCTGTGTGGCCTTGGACAAGTCACTTGCCCTCCCTGAACCTCAGCTTCCTTCTCTAGCTGGTAGCTTAATCATCCTAACCTTCTAAGACAGTGGTTCTCAACCTTCTGGCCCTTTAAATACAGTTCCTCACGTTGTGACCCAACCATAAAATTATTTTCGTTGCTACTTCATAACTGTCATGTTGCTACTGTTATGAATCGTCATGTAAATATCTGATAGGCAGGATGGTCTTAGGTGACCCCTGTGAAAGGGTCGTTCGACCGCCAAAGGGGTCGCGACCCACAGGTTGAGAACCGCTGTAAGACTATGCAAGAATCTAATTCAGTCAGTCCCCGAATGCTCCAGCACTTCCTCCGTGCTCGACTTGTGCAGAGACAAGGCCGGCCTGCCATGGGACAAAAAAGGGCTTATACACTTGGCCAGACCTGCAGCCAGAAATCAGAAGGGGTCCAGGGGGAGGGGCAGGATAAAGAGAGGCTCAAGGACAGTGAGGCCGACAATGGGCTCTCCAGTCAGGGAGAAGTGGGGCAGTTCTCGACTCCCCACTCCCCACCCCCACCCCATGCCCTACTTTCCACCCTCCCACCCCATCTAGCTGTGATCGCACACCACCCTGGGCCCACCGAGCAACCCCACAGGGAGGGCAGGACATCTCTCCCTGTCCCCTGGCCCCAGAACGTCCTAACCTGAATAACAGGTTGTGACATCTCAGCAGGAACGAGGAAGAAAGGAACTGTTTGGGGTTTGGTGGCTGCAGAGGGAATTCTTGTCCACCCAGCCTGCGATCCTGTCCAGCAAGCGGGCCTGGGCTTCCACTCCAGAGCAGCCACGGCTGGCAGGGCGAGCCATTGGGGCGGACTCGGGAGAGCAGAGAGCCCTGCAGTGCTGAGAGGGTAGTGGGGGCTCATCTAGGAGGGACAGCAGGCCGTCCCTGTCCCTCCCCTGACCCTGGCTAAAGCTAGAGTCCCCGCTTGGCCCCGGCATGACAGCGAGAGCCTAGCTCCCTGCCCAGATATCCAGATATGTGCCTTCTCTCTCTCTCTCTCTCTCTCTCTCTCTCTCTCTCTCTCTCTCTCGTTCTGTACATGGGTGATAGTTTATCTTTATCTCTGTTCTCCTCCTTGTCCTGGTCTCTCTTCTGTCTTGTTCTTTCTCTCTTTCTGTCTCTGTCTCTCCATCTCCCTCTCCCCTTGTCTCTCCAGTCTGTCTCTGTGCATGCTCCCTGTGGAATATCCATGTCTGTCCATTCATCTGCCTATCCCTCTCCCTTCTGTCTGACCCTGCCCCTGTCCTTCCCTCCTGTCCACCCCAGTTATCCTAACTCCTCCACGCACAGGGTACCCCACAAAATGTCTTTTGAGCCTCATATCCAGGTGCCGGAGCTCCTGGACTATATAGGTCGCCCCTCAGAACATTCAAGAGATAATACAGTTTTATATTGGGGTTTGGGGTTGAAGGGGAGTTGGTCACTTGAATTTCAGAAAGTTAACTTGTACAAAATCTCTGTGGGTGGAGCCAGGTGACCACTCTGCTTTCTCATCTAGAAGGCCCTGGAGGGTCAAGCCAGGATGGTGGAGTTTGTATAATCTCAAGAGGAGATGTGGATTTGCCTTTGTCGTTGCTGTTGTTTAAATATCAACAGACCCAGCCCACCTGCCTCAGTGCCAGGTCCCTGGCTCATATCTGGATCCTTGGCGGTTGGGCTTCAGGCACCATGTCTGTTAAGATAGATTCTTAGGGAGAAGAAGATTCTGGGGGGGTTGGGAGACAGGCAAAGCGGTGGGAGCCAGTCGCTGCTGTCAGAGGCCCTCAGAGGCCCTGAGCTGGCTGTGGGGAGGCCCAGACCTGGGACAGTGGTCGCCAGCCCACCATCTCCAGAGTCCTGCTGGGGGTCAAAGCTGCCGAATCGCTGGTAACTGCTCAGGTTCTGGGGGTCGGCATGGGGCGAGGTGGGCCCAAGGATGGCCCTCCCCTTGCCCAAGACTCAAAAGGGGAGGGAACTTCTATTTCAACTCTCCTCTCAGACAAAAATCACTGGTGGAGGGACCCTGTGGGGATGGGGTGGCCAGACACCCACATCCAGATTCCGACTCTGACCCTTGCAAGCTGAGCTGAGCAACCCTGAGCTTAGCCATGGTGAGTCTTAGCTACTCACCCGAAAATACAGGCTGTGAGGATTAAAAGCAGGTGATGCACGGACAGCGCAAACGCGCCTGCAATACGCGGGCCCTGATTGCTCTTCATTTGCTACATCAGCAAAGATCCCTGATGGCTTCCATGGGGCTCGCTAGCTCATGTCTCTCTGCTGACTGGATGGATGGACAGGTGAACAAATGGATGCATGGATGGGTGGATGGATGGGGAACTAAATCAATTCTCCAAGAGATGGTGGCTGGCAGACTGCACCTTACTCCACTTTCTAATCTCTACACGCGAAAAAGCCATGTTGAATATCAAATCCCAGTGAAGGAGAGGTGGAGGCAGAGAGGGAAGAAAGAAAACGGCTGCTCTGTCCATGTGGCAGATGGTGAGGAACCAAACTGAAAGGATGGTGGCCTCACTGAGAGGTCCCGGGCCCTAACCTTCAGTCTTCTTCACTCTCAGACCCCTTCTCACTGCGTGGAGGAGCCAAGCTCCGGCTTCCCATTCGAGTTTCTTCTCTCCACACGCCGCCGCTGAGCCCGAGCCACTCCTCACCGGGACAGGATGAGACCTTCAGGTAGGACCGGGAATGAGGACTCTAGGGCTCAAGGTTGGGGCCGAGGTTGGTTTGAAATCCTTTTTCTGTCAGCGGTGTCTGCTGTTCTGGACTCAGAGGGCATTTGGCTGTATCTTTGTCAAGTGGTCAGGCCAGAAGGCCAGGAGGAAAACAGGAGGGTGAGCCTGGGGAGTGGAGGAGGCGACTTTGCCTCCAGGCGGAAGGGCTAGGAAACCTTGGGCGCCTGGACCCCAATGCGGCCGGGATCATGGGGAGTCCTCCTCTTGGAAAGCCCTGACCCTGATTGGAAATTAGGGACAAAATATTTGCTCCAAAGAAAGCTCTTCCAGAATCCTCATACCATCGGGCCGGGCATGAAGAGAACTTTGTCTTCTAGTCTATGCCCTCATTTGGACAGATAGAGAAACTGAGGCACTGACTAGGACAGTGATGGCGAACCTATGACACGCGTGTCAGAGGTGACACGCAAACTCATTTTTTTGGTTGATTTTTCTTTGTTAAATGGCATTTAAATATCTAAAATAAATATCAAAAATATGTCTTTGTTTTACTATGGTTGCAAATATCAAAAAATTTCTGTATGTGACACAGCACCAGAGTTAAGTTAGGGTTTTTCAAAATGCTGACACGCCGAGCTCAAACGGTTCGCCATCACTGGACTAGGAAGTGAACACAGCTCCCTGACATCCCACAACAGCTGTGAGGGGGTTGAGTTTCAAAGTCAATTTACTAGCCTGGGTTCAAATCCCACCCCCAACACTTACTAACCAAGTGGCCACCTCCCTGAGCCTCAGTTTCCTCGTCTGCAAATAGGAATAATCAGCAGGGCCCAGCACAGGGCTGCTGTGAGGGTGAACTGAGATAACGCATGGAAAAGCTGTTGGCATGGTGCCTGGCACAAAACGCGTGCTGTGTAATGTGATCCCCGAGAGAAAATCCCACAAACAGCCACCCTGCGTCCTTGAAGATGAGGGTCCCCACACACCTGCGCTCCACCCCACAGCATCCAGGGGGCCTTCCCACTCACCCCAAGGAGCTTGGAACCAGCTCGAGGCCACAGAGCTGAATTCAGGACTGAGGAGAAGCGTGATGCCGAGGGGGGCGGGGGTTGTCAGGCAAGGAGCCCGGGATCTGGCCTGGTGGTTGGAGTGGATCCGGAAGCAGCAGCAGCCACCAGAGTCCCTGAGCGGGAGGTGGATGGGGGCCCGCTTCTCGCCCTCGTGGAAGAGCAAAGAGCAGGACCGGGAGCTCAGGGGGGCCCATCCCATGTGTGGGTTGGTCCCCAGTGATGGGACGGGGTCGAGGTCGGGCAGCATCTGTCTGTGAGGCAGGGGAGGCCCCTCTGTCTGTGTTCCTGTCGAGAGCTGTGTGTGGTTATTGGTGGTGGCTCTCGGGGGAGTTGATGGAAAATGTGGGGGACAAACAGCACTCCCCGAGCCACCCTGGAGGCTGCCTAATGGTGACAACAATCACATCTCTCCCAGCAAGCAGGGGCTCCGTGGCAAGGATGTCACCATATTCACTCTGTGACTGAGGGACTCCAACTCAGGGGCCGAGCTCCGTCCGCGGCCGCACCGCGTGGGTGGCTGCCAGCACTGGCCAGGGCCTCCTGACGGCTGTGACGCTCACCTCCAGGCTGTCCGCAGCAGGGCCCGCCTCCTGCCCGCCTGCGGCAGGCTCCCAGGCCTCGCCCCTGGAGCTGCTCTCTCTGGAGGGCTCCAGGAAGGTGTGCTTCTCACTTTCTCTCCCGTGGTCCCACTTGGGGAATGTGGCCCGTCATCATGCAGCACCGTCTCACCATTCTCATCATCACGTCGTTCACACGGCTCTCAGCTCGGGGGCCCGGGGGCCGGCCCACAGTGTGGGTGTGGGTGTGGGTGTGGGTGTGGGTGTGGGTGTGGGTGTGGGTGTGGGTGTGGGTGTGGGTGTGGGTGTGGGTGTGGGTGTGGGTGTGGTGTGACCTACAACGTGGGGTCTCATGACGGGTCTCCCTGTGCGGATCTGACAAGGACCGCATGGAGTCTCGCCACGCGGCTTTGCGATGCCGTCCGGTGCTGTGGTCTCATGTCCGGTCTCCTTGCTCTGCAGGACTGTTTCGCCTCCTGGCCTTCATCTTTGTCCTGATCACCTCATTGGTCTTCATCCGCAGCTACATCAGCCTCAGCACGAAAACCATCCGTCTGCCCCGCTGGCTGGGTGAGTGCAGCTCACTGCTGGGGCAAGGCCTGTGGACCAGGGCTGAGGGCCGAGGATCTATCCCTCCCTCCGTCCCTGGAGACCCTGAGACATGACTGAGTGTGGGCTTGCCTTTGGCACCCCAGCCATTGTGGGGTGGCACATGCTCTGGCCAGGGCCACTCCCCGTTGTTGAAATGAGCTAAAAGTCCCATCTCCTCTGGGAGTCCTTCCTCACTTGCCACTGATACCCCTTCACACACACACACACACACACACACACACACACACAAGCATACAAATACACACAGACATACACACAAGCATACACATACACACAGACATACACACAAGCATACACATACACATGTGCACACACATACAAGCACACACAGATACACAGGCACCCTTCATAGGCAACACCCGCCTATGCACACAGACACATGCATCTCTCCTATGTGCTGGAGAGATGTGGCACGGGCACACCCAAGGCCCTGGCCAGAGCATGTGCCTACTACATCCAGGGGGAGCTTGGAAATGAGACCCAAGAAGGAAGGCAGAGAGCAGGAACGCAGGGAGGGGTCGGGGAAGAAAACCATCTGTGCACTGAGTGGCTTCCACCTGCACTGGCTGTTCCCTCTGCCTGGGACCCTCTTCGCGTAGAGCGCCCTGTGGCCAGTTTCTTCTCAGCCTTCAGGTCTTTGCTCAAACGTTACCTCTTCAGATGCCTTTCCTGACCACCCGGCTACAGCTGCATTTGTCACCAATGTCATTTATTTGTTTTTCACTTGGTTGTTGTCTGTCTCCACCCTCTGGAGTATAAGCTTCCTGGAGGCAGGGATTTTAGCTTGTGCACATCCATCTCTCTAACACCTGGTACAGAGCAGATGCTCAGTAAACATTCGATAAGTGAAAGAAAAATGGGTGGATACATGGGTGATGCGTGGATGAATGAATGATGGATGGGTAGGTGAATGGATGGGTGGAGGGATGGATGAATGGTGATGGGTGATGGGTAGAGGGATGGATGAATGGTGATGGGTGATGGGTGGGTGATGGGTGGAGGGATGGATGAATGGTGATGGGTGATGGGTGGAGCGTTGGATGAATGGTGATGGGTGATGGGTGGAGGGATGGATGAATGGTGATGGGTGATGGGTAAATGTATGGGTGGAGGGATGGATGAATGGTGATGGGTGATGGGTGAATAAATGGGTGGAAGGATGGATGAATGGTGGTGGGTGATGGGTGGAGGGATGGATGAATGGTGATGGGTGATGGGTGAATAGATGGGTGGAGGGATGGATGAATGGTGATGGGTGAATAAGTGGGTGGAAGGATGGATGAATGGTGGTGGGTGATGGGTGGTGATGGTTGCTAGCGGCTTTACATTCATAGTCTCATTTAATCTGCACAAATGCCCCCTAGGGTGATCCATGTTGTGATTGTGGAGTGCACTCATGCTTGACCTCCTGTTGTGGTTTTATGCATAGTCTGCGAAAACAGAAGCTTCCAAATTCCCCTGTAGATGTCAGAATAGGAATGGGAACCCAAGCCTCCCAGATCCAAATCCTATCAAAGGAAGGAGAGAAAGGGAAGTAATTGATACCTCTGATTTTGTCCTCCTCAAAGACCAAGAGTCCCCTGCAATGGCATAGTCAAACATAATAACGCCCAGGTCAGCCCATGGCCACAGCAGCCAGAAGCCAGGCACCCTGTCTTTAACACAAGCTCCCCACCATGGGGTCTCAGATGTCCCTCACCTTGTCCACTTGTCAGCCACGGTTTATACCCAGGTCAGGATGATTTATACAGATGCATGCTGGCCACCGTGTCCCCAGCCCAGGGCGCTGCTTTCATAGACTAGAGATTGGCTGGGCTGCACTGATGGCCTTGGAGGAGATGGGCCCAGGTCGATGATGGAGGCTCAGACAGGAGTTGAGACCAGGGGTGTCCCCTGGAGGAGAGGGCCCCAGCCTGAGGTGGGAGAGGAGACAGTGTTTGAAAGGAGACCCCAGAACTCAACCACCTGGGGTTTGACAAATCAACACTTCCAACCAAAAGTACCCAGTGACTATTCTGTTAGGTCCCAGACCCTGAAGTGAGGACCACGCCCCCCCAACCCCCACTCACAGTTTGAGCTAGGGAGACAAATAGACTTAATCACAGAATATACAAAAACAAGAGTGCATGATCCTGAGTCCTGAGAAATGCTCACAGTGGCAGGAAATAGACCAGTGGGGAAAGTGACCATCAAAATCCATTAGCGTTGCCCTAGCCAGTTTGGCTCAGTGGATAGAGTGTTGACCTGCAGACTGAGGGTCTCGGGTTCGATTCCGGTCAAGGGTGTGTACCTCAGTTGCAGGCTCAATCCCTGGCCCTGGTTGAGGCGTATGTGGGAGGCAACCATTGATGTGTCTGTTTCACATCATTTCTCTCTCTCTCTCTCTCTCTCTCTCTCTCTCTCTCTCTCTCTCTCTATCTCCCCCCCCTCCCTTCCACTCTGTCTAAAAATCAATGGAAAAATATCCTCGGATGAGGATTAACAGCAACAACAAAAACGCATTAGTGTTCGGCACAGGAAGAGGTAGCGTTCATTTACTGCAGAGATCCTTAACTTGGCTGCACTTGCCGATGGCGCATCAATATAGAAGCACATGTATTACTAGAGCACACACTTATTTTCTAATATTTTATGACATATTGATATGCATTTGGTTTCCTTTCTAATCCAATCTATTTTGTTTCATGATTTTGTAGCTTGCAGTCTGTTACAGTAGGAGGTACTAAGTGTCTCAGAGAAGTGGGAATAAATGTATTCATAGGCTTTCCCAAACCACCACACATCCATGGCACCAAAATCAGGAGACTAAGAACTCCTGGTCTACCTGCAAACTGGGCAGGCTCTTTCCGATGGGCGTGACAAGGCCAACTCTAACTGGTTTAAACATAGCGGATGTCTTGTGTCATGTGACTGGGGAGTCCATGGATGACGGGCTTCGGTGTGGCTGGATCTAGGGGCCCTCACAAAGCCTCCGAGTCCCTGTGTCCCTGGGCTCTGCTGGTTGCTACTGAACCTCCTCCCTGGGCAGCCTTCTCTCTCAGGCAGGAGTGATGGCTACCATCTCTCCAGATGCTTGTCTTCCCGCTAAGCTGAGAACTTCTCTCTCCCTCGGGGCCATATACCCCCCAGGGAAGGGCTGTCCCCGGAATGTAATGTCAGGACTCTCCCGCCTGGCTCCCAGCCTACTCCTGGAGTGTTGGAGGCAGGGGGGAGGGACACGCCAGGGTGAACAGCCCCCTGATGACCAAATGGAAAGTGTTTCAGTGGGGGGCCCCCCAAAAAGCGTTCCCACCCCTAGGATTTCTGTGGGGGGCCCTGTCCTCTAGGACTCACTGCCAGTATCGTGGGAGACCTCCCGTGGAACCCCTGAAACAACCAGGATTCAGTGTGAATGAGATGTTAGAAAGTGACCACGGCCCCACGCCCGGAGCAGACAGTCAGGGAGTCAGGAAAGGGTCACTCTGACCTGGCTGACCAACACCAGCCACACGCTCCGGCCCATCACTGAGGCCAGGGCACCAGGCGCTGGGCGGGACCCTCACAGCCTGACCTCACTGGGTGGTCTCCACAGCCTGCGAGGTGGGTGTGGCGGCCTCCATGTGAAGTCAAGGGGAACCCACACCCGGCACACAGCCAGGAGCAGGGCTCCAGCCCCAGCGGGTCTCACAACAGACCCCGGCTTCTTGTCAACCGTGAGAGTCGTGTGTGTGTGTGTGTGTGTGTGTGTATGTGTGTGTGTGTGTGTGTTCATGTGTCCATGAGTGTACATGTGTGCCTGTGTGTTAGTGCATCTGCATGTGTCTATGTGCATGTAAGTATACATGCTTGTGCATGCATTTATGTGCACACTTTGTGTGTTTATGTATTGTGTGTCTGTGTGTGATTGTATGTGTATGCTTATATGTGTGCACATGTGTATGTGTATGCTTGTGTGTGTGCCTGTGTGTGCCTGTTTGTGCATGTATGCGTATGCTTATATGTGTGTGCATGTTTGTGTGTGCTTGTGTGTGCGTGCGTCTGTGTGTTCATGTGCCCATGAGTGTACATGTGTGCCTGTGTGTTAGTGCATCTGCATGTATCTATGTGCATTTATGTATGCATGCATGCTTGTGTGTACATGTATGTGTACGCTTTGTGTGTTTATGTATTTGTGTGCCTGTGTGTGCCTGTGTATACGTGTGTGCTTGTATGTGTGTACTTATGTGTGTGCACATGTGTATGTGTATGCTTGTGTGTATGTCTGTATGTATGTGTATGCTTGTGTGTGTGTTTGTGTGTGTGTGTGAAGGGGTATCAGTGGCAAGTGAGGAAGGACTCCCAGAGGAGATGGGACTTTTAGCTCATTTCAACACCCGCCATGGGAGGGGACTCTGCTCAGCCAGGCCAGCACCACTCTCAATCCCTTCTTCCCACTCCCCAGCCCCCAGCCCAACCTCCATCCTGCAGGGGGGCCCTAAGCACTTTCTCACTAAGCAGATTCTTCTTCTCTCCAGCAGATCCACCCTCCAAGAAGACCCGTAAGTATCTCCCAGCACCCCCCTTGCCTTAGTGAGATGCTCAGGGCCTCTAGCCCCCGCCCTTCAGGTCCCAGAAAAATCTCCTTTCCAGAACCTGCCCGGCTCCCTCCTCCCACAGCCCCATGTGCCCTCCGACCCCCTGAGCCCTGTGGCAGGAATGGCCCCTTCCCAGCCATTCAGGCTGATAGGATGGCTGAGCTGTCTCCTTCCCCAGCCCCCCACCCTGCAGTCTGGACATGCCTATCCCCGTCTCCCCTGTCCCAGCACCTGGCCTCGTACTTCTCCCTTGACTCCCCCCACCCACTGGGAGCCCTGAAGATGGAGGCTGTGCTTATTGTCACCATGGCAATGACCACAACTTGGCTCATGGTTCCTGCATCAAAGTAGCATACCAGCACCATGTCAGGGACTACAGGGGCCCCAGAAGGGGGTGCTGATTACCTGTTGGGGTAGAAGTGCCAATCGAGCCAAGAGCAGTGGGGCAAAGTGTTCTGGGCTCCAGGAAGGCCACCCCCTGCCCATGGATGGGGTCAGGGAAGGCATCAGGGAGGAGGTGACCTTCAGCTGTGCCTTGTGGAGGCGGGAACAGCCTATGCAAAGGCTCAGAGGCAGGAAGGCTGGGGCTCCTGTGGAGACCTTGGCTGCAGAGTCAAGGACATGAGAGTGGAGAGAGCACTGGGAGGGCAGGAATGCTGGCACCCCAAATGCTGGACACGCAGATGTCTGAACAGCGAGGACCCCAGCCCCTCAGGTGGGAGGAGGTGGAGGGAGAGACAGCTATGATGATGATGATGGTAACAATGATCGAGGGCTAATGTGTGCCAGACAGTGTATTCAGAACATGACAGACATCGCGCACCATCCTCACCACAATCCTGTGCAGGTGCTGTGACTATCCCCATCTCATAGACGAGGATACTGAGCTCAGAGAGGTGAACTGCAGATGGTGGAGTGGGAGTCAAGCTCCCCGTCTGGTCCAAAGCCCACGCTCTCAACGCCTCCTTACAAGAGGCAACACCGCCAGGTCCCTGGTCCCTCCTCTCTCACCCGACGCGGTGCTGACCGAGCGGGAAAGCAGCGCCAGGGGTGGGACTGACCTGATTGAGAGGCCTGAGGCCCAGTGTCCTGTGGGATTCCAGAGCAAAGACTGTGAGGATGAACACCGACATTCACCCTGCACCCCCTCCGCTCCCTGAAGCCTCCGGGGGCAGCTTCTGAAGTAGACACAGAGTCACAGTGTCGTGGTGCTGAGCGAACATATGCTGGGAAGATGGTAAATGCAGGCACACCTGTGCCGCCCACCTTGCCCGCTCCCACAGTGGGCATCACCCACCAATCCCAGCACCTTCCCCTCCAAACCCACAGGCAGCCTCTAAGGTAGACCCACTGACATGAAGAGGACACCTGTTTGACCACCCTGAGCTACACGGGTGCCTCCTTTTACGGCTGGCGAAGGGGGGCGGGGGGAGATCTCTGGCAAGCCCCACAGCAGGTTCTGGGAGCAGCCCAGGCTCCCTGGCCGCACCCTCCAGTGCTCAGCCTCACACCCTGAGCAGCAGCACTAGCTCCCGCGGGGGCTGGGCAGCGGCTGGGGCGGTGCCCAAGCCCAAACCCAGAGAGCAAATCCCCTGCCTCCCAGCGGCTGAGACCCCGGGGCCCCATCCCCTTCGTCCCTCAGCCTGACCGTGCAGGCTGGACGGTCAGAAAATCAATCCTGGGAAAGCCGGCCTGTTGGTATTGGTTTATCAGACTCAGCTGCAGTTGATAAGGCTCGGGGGCGGCGATGGGGGACGGGGGGGGGGGGGGGGGGAGTCCCGAGGCCTGGACAGCGCCTCCAGCTTAGGGAGCCCCTCTGGTCAAGAGTAAACCGGTCTCTCCGTGACCGTGACCGGGCAGGTGTCAGAGGTGGGGCTCCCGGGCTCAGGAGAGAAGAGGACCCTCCCAGCCTCATCCGCAGGCCCGGGCAGGGGCCGGGCCCCTTGGTGGGGTTCCATCCCCGCCTCCGCCCTCTCTCTTCTGAGCTACAGGCCTGGGCACCCACTCTCTCCGAGCAGCCTCAGGGGTGTCTCCAACCCGGCGCTCACTCTCTGGTGATCACGTTCCCACTGAGCTCTGGTCACACCCTCAGGTGGGTGAGGGGACAGAGAGCCCGGGGCAGGCACTCTGCTCAGATCCCCAGGGCTGCCCGCAGCCCAGGGCGCCCAGGCCCAGCATGTGCCCGGACGTGGGTGCATTCAGTCCCAGAAAGGGGGGCCCTCGCCTCCTCAGAGGAGCCACAGGCGGGCCACTTGCACCTGCGGGCTGTCCCCGCAGAGGGCGCTCTTTCCTGCTTCCCACAGCGGCTCCCTCCAGAGGGCGCTGCCCATCCCCCCACCTCGGGCCTGGGCTCGGCGCCCAAATGCTCTGTGTGGTCACCCAACGAATATGTACTGCGGGCCCACCGGTGCCGGCACAGGAGCCATTGAAATGATTCCACGAGATAATAAAGAGGGAGCACTTGCCCCGGCCTCGCACACAGCAACCTCCGCGTGTGCCCGCTGCCCTGCGGGGGCTGTGGGTTTGCTGCAGGCGCCGCGGCCGGAGCGGAGCGAGGCTGCCCAGGCACTGCCTTCCCTGTGCAGGTGGAGTTCCCCTCATCCGTGTCCTCCCTGATGGTACCTGGCCCACGTCAGGTGGGGCTAAAACACCCCTTAGCAGCAGTCGGAGCCTGCCACGCTGAGAAGGCGGCGATGTCCCAGCTGGCAGGGCCCCCTGAGGGCTGCGTGGCTCTGCAGCTGTTTGAGGGTCCAACCTACACGTCCCCCCTTCGTGGGCCTCCTGAGTCGGCCCTGGGAGGGCCTTGTGGAGAGGAGGCAGGTCTGAACAGCAGCCCCGATAGTCACAGCTCCACACAGTGTGTCCTCAGTGGGTTCCAAGGAGGGCACTAAGCACTGAGTGGGGGGCCGGCACTGCCTACCTGTCCCTGTGGAACCCCAGAGCCCAGCCCATAGTAGGTGCTCAGTAAATGAGTGGGTGATGGGAAGAATAATCAGTAGTAACCTGTGTTCATTTACTCCCCGTGAGAACCCAGCAGGGAAGCCCCCATAGTTATCCCATTTCACAGAGCAGGAAGTTGAGGTGCAAGGAGGTTGAAGACTTGCCCAAGGGAACCCACTGGTGAGAGATGCTCCTACCCACCATGCTAGGGCCCCAGGCGGTCAACAGGGGCTTCTCTGGAGGAGAGGGAGCTCAACAGGCTGCTGCGGCCCCAGAGGAAGGTTCTGGAGAAAATCTCTTTGTCACGGTGCCGCTGGCATTACCCACACTCATTGCTTCACACACACTGACCAGGGGCCTGCGCTGAGTGAGGCACTGGGTGGGGCTGGGGCTGTGAGGGGAAGCCCAGAAATGAATTCTGGGGGGTCCTACACACAGCTGCTGCCACCAAGGCTGGTCTGTTCCCTCCCCAGGGGTCGTGAAGGTCAAGTGTGACCTCAGCAAGCCCTGCCCAGACAACTTCTTTGCCTTTAAAATCCTCAGCGGGGCCGCCAACGTCGTGGGCCCCTCCATATGCTTTGAAGACCACATGTAAGTACCAGAGGGACTCCTGTGTTTCGTTTCCTTTATTGCATTCATTCATTCATTCATTCATTCGCTAATTCAGAGGCTGTGGGTGTAGGCCCTGAGGCCAGCCCACACCTTCCACACACTTCCTTTTACTGCGGGTGGGTGAGTCCCAAATACCAGTAATCCTAACAGCTTCCGTGTCTGCCCGCACCTTGCTCATTGCTCACAGAACCATCTCATCCAGCCCCCAACACCCCCAGCACCATCTCATCCAGTCCCCAACACCCCCAGCACCATCTCATCCAGCCCCCCAACACTCCCAGCACCATCTCATCCAGCCCCCCAGCACTCCCAGCACCATCTCATCCAGCCCCCCAGCACTCCCAGCACCATCTCATCCAGCCCCCAACACTCCCAGCACCATCTCATACAGCCCCCAACACTCCCACCACCATCTAATCCAGCCCCCCAACACTCCCAGCACCATCTCATCCAGCCCCCAACACTCCCAGCACCATCTCATCCAGCCCCCAACACTCCCACCACCATCTAATCCAGCCCCCCAACACTCCCACCACCATCTCATCCAGCCCCCCAACACTCCCAGCACCATCTCATCCAGCCTCCCAACATTCCCACCACCATCTCATTCAGCCCCACAACACTCCCAGCACCATCTCATCCAGCCCCCCAACACTCCCAGCATCATCTCATCCAGCCCCCCAACACTCCCAGCACCATCTCATCCAGCCCCCAACACTCCCAGCACCATCTCATCCAGCCCCCCAACACTCCCACCACCATCTCATTCAGCCCCCCAACACTCCCAGCACCATCTCATCCAGCCCCCCAACAATCCCAGCACCATCTCATCCAGGCCCCCAACACTCCCAGCATCATCTCATCCAGCCCCCAACACTCCCAGCACCATCTCATCCAGCCCCCAACACTCCCAGCACCATCTCATCCAGCCCCCCAACACTCCCAGCACCATCTCATCCAGCCCCCCAACACTCCCAGCACCATCTCATCCAGCCCCCAACACTCCCAGCACCATCTCATTTCATCCTCACAGCCCCGTGGGGTTGGGGGCCATTGTTATCCCCTTTATACATGAGGAAAATGAGGCTCAGAGAGGTCAAGTGACTTGTCCAAAGTCACACAGCCAAGGAGCCTCAGAATAAGGCAAAGCAAGGACCTCAGTGGGTAGTTCACATACCTAAAAGGCCAGAGGCAGTGGCTTCAGGACCAGCTGCATCCAGGGGTTCAAACCATGTCATCAGGGTTCCCTCCCGCATGGTCCTCAGCTCTGCTTTCCTCACTGAAGACAGGCCTCGGGTGTGGACAGCAGGGGGACCACAGCTGGTCCGCACACGGGCCCCAGCCAGCACCCCAGGGGGGAGAGAGCTTTCCATCTGAATTGCCCCGTAAGGGTCCCCAGGGCGCTGGCTGTGCCTGGCCGGCCCTGTGGCCAGAGGCACAGGGTGCTCTGCTGTTTAGGCCTGGGAGGGAGGGTGGCCCTGAGAACCAGCGGCCTGAGATGGAGGCCAGTGCTCCCAAGGACACCACAGACAGGAGTGGGGACCCTGGGCCTTTTCTCTGAGCAGACTGCTCTGGTCCGGACAAGCCCCGAGTGGCTCCTCAAGAACCCAGCCCACCGCCCGGGGCCGGAGGAAACATGGCCTGAATCCTGCCTGCACTTCCTGTTGCTCTGCCTCACAGCACGTGGGCGTGTCCGAGTCCCGAGTCCTGGAGCAGTTCATTCCACACCGAGGACCCACTGTCACATTTTGTTTTCCTTTTCTTCTTCAGGATCATGAGTCCTGTGAAAGACAACGTGGGCAGAGGCCTGAACATCGCCCTGGTGAACGGTGAGTTGCTGACCACCCTTCAGACAGCGCCCACTGTGGGGGGTTGGCGGGGGGGGGGGGGGGGGGCGGTGGCGGCCCTGGGTGCATTCCTTCACTTCCTGCCACATGCCCTGGGTCGTCCGTGGTGTCAGGCAGGGAGGCCTGGCGGGCCTGTGGGGACAGAAGGTATGAAAGGCCCAGTCCTGCCGCAGCCCTGGCCGGGCCCTGCCGTGTGTGTGTGTGTGTGTGTGTGTGTGTGTGTGTGTGTGTGTGTGTGTGTGCCTGTCCCAGGAGACATGCTTCTCCCTGGGTTTTAAACCAACACCATGAGGCCATAAGAGACAACGATGGCAACATGAGATCATGGCTGGGTGCACACCTTCATTCATTTATTCAGCCATGTCAACAGCAGCTGTGGTGGTGGGCCCGGCCCTGCCCAGAGCGCTGGGGGCCGGGGCGGGGGATGGGGAGGGCGGAGGGGGGGGGGGCGGGGGCGCGGGGGAGGGGCAGGTCCTCCCTGGCTTCACAGCCCCTGCGGGTGTGCATGAAGTTCACAGACAGCCGCAGTGTGGGAGCGTCTGTGGAGCCGGAAGCACAGACCTGGGGCAGGGCCATCGGGGAGGTGAGGTGATGGTCAGCTGCGGCCTGAAGGAGGGTAGGGTGCCCGGGAGGAAAGCGGGGAGGCTCCTCCCAGGCAGGGGCCGCACCGTGCAGGGCGAGGAGGGAGGGGAGGGTGGTCTCTCTGGCTGCACCAGAGACAGGCAGCGGTGGGCGGCGAGGCTGCAGAGGCCGCAGGGCCAGAGGGTGAGGGGCTGTGCGTCCCACTAAAACGTGTGGCTTGAAGCAGAGGGCAGTGAGCAATCTCAGGAAGGCTTTGAGCAGAGCATGAGGCCCAGCCCTGCATTCCAGAAACTTCTCTCCTACCTGAAGTGGGGGGGCTGGAGGCAGGGAGACCCAGGGGAGACCCCGTGTCACTGACCCTGCTTCTCCAGCAGGCAATGAACGGGAGGCCAATGGCAGGCCAAGCCTGAAACGGGGACACCTTACAGGAGGGGCTTTATTTACGGGATTCAAGTCCGGACCAGGTGGTCTGGCCCCAGCCAAGACCCCCCCCCCCCCCCCCCCGCTCTGCCTTCAGCTCCTAGATGGGTAACATGGGCCAGTTCCCTGGATCTAAGAGCCACTTCCTGGGACAAAGGGCAGGGCAGGGGGGAAAGGGCACAGTGGGCACTCAGGAGGGAAAGGTCGAGCTGTGTGTGGCATGTGACCACACCCCCGCACTTGGGATGTGACGGGGTAAGACTGGAACTTCTAGAGGTGCATTTCCCAGGAGCCTTGCAGAGCCTGACAACTCCCTGGGAGCTGAGGAAGGGTGGGGGCTGGGAGGGTAGGAGGCCAAGAGGTGGGTCTCCCCCAAAGTCTTGAGGAGAGAGCAGCCTGATTGACTCCAGTGGTGGCCCTGCCCAGAGGGAGGGCGTGCAGGCCGCTGGGACTGGTCCCGGAGCCCCTTCAGGCTGCAGAAAATGCTCCGGCTGCAGCTGACCAGGCTGGAACCTGCTGGTGTTCTCTCCCCCCAACTGGGCCCCCTGCCCGAGAAGACCTCTCAAAAAGTCTCTGATGACAGAGGCTCAGACTGGGGCCTCCTTCCTCACCCCTCACAAAGTCCAAAAACAAAAACAACCATCAACAATAGTAAAAGCTAACGTTTAGTGAGCATTTACTACGTGCTAGCTATTTCATTTAACCCCATCACCATGCTGAAATGGCATGATGCTCAGTGTCCCCATGCTCCAGGTGAACAGTGGAAGCTCAGAGTGGTTAGGCGACTTGCCCAAGGTTGCACAGCCAATAGCATCATCTAGATTTTAACCCGTATCTGGCTGGCTCTAGGTCTGAATCACTCAACTGAACTACCTCCCTAGACTAGAAATGTCTCCAAGCATGTATGCAGCACCTACTGTATGCCAGCTCTGTGCCAGTCCAAGGAATCAGTTCTCAGGGCCAGGGCCTCCTCTGTACAATGAGCCAGAACAGCACAAGGATTGTTAAAGGTTGGTGCTTTGCAACCTTTTAGGAACTGTTCAAACTATATCTCCTCCCTCTGATTCCAAAAAATTCCACAAATGCACGTGGTCTCAGTTTAACAGGGTCACATTCCCCTTCCAAGGGGCCCAGGTGAAGTGCCCCAGGGGCTTGGTCCATCAGTGGCTGGAAGAATCCGGGAGGAGCTGCAATGCGAGCTCCCTCCCCCACCCCACCCTCCACCCAGCGGGTGACCCTTCACTACCAGGGCCCTGCCCACCCTCTTCAGGAATCCTGGACCTCCTATTGGGTGGAAAGGGGGAAGGACCCCCGGTGAGACTGGAGAGCTGCCATCCCCTCTGCAACATCTCCATCTAGTGGCACCGAGCGGGACTGTACGTTTCCTCCAGAGCACACGGTTCTCCGCGGGTCTGGGACCCTTTGCAAAACTCACAACACGCAACTGAGATTACTGAGCTCAGGACACCGAGTTCCGTTCAGCAAATCCCTTCCCTTTCAAGAGTCAGAGGACTCCAGTTGCAGAGCTCCGACGTAGGTGGGAATAAAGATGACAATTGTGGTTCTTTTCATGCCTAGTTTGTAGCTAACTCGTATCTTGTATGCTGACTGTCTACTGTAAAGACATCTTATTTAGTTCCCAAAGCCCATTGTTCAGATGGAAAAAAAAAAAAAAAAAAAAAAAGCGGTCAGAATGCTCATGGGTGCATTAGGAAGTGGAAAGGCAGAACACAGACCCAGATCAGTGGAATTCTGTTCGATCCCAGAGACCCTCCTCCATTATATTGTACCACTCACATCAGCCCAGACTACGGGGCATCTTCTTAGTCCCGCATGCTTTCTACGGGACCTGATTCTGTTCCATTATTATTCTATCTTTAGACCTTAGACTAAAAAGTACTCGTTTTCCACCAAATGACAGGCAGAACGACACAGTCCAGCAAGTAATAGTTCTGCTCTCTCACCCCTCAGGAACCACGGGGAAGGTGCTGAGTCAGGCCAGCTTCGACATGTACTCCGGAGGTAAGTGGGCACCTCTGTTGGCAATGAGGTCACGGGTGGGCTGAGCTCCTTCCTGTGGCGAAAGAGCTATCGGGGTGCCGGGGGGGGGGGGGGGGCCTGGCTCTTGTTTCCACAGAAGACACCCAGAAGGAGGCGTGGTGGGGGTTCACGCCGTCCTGCGGCCTTTGAAACGTGGTGATCTCAAACAGTGTCAGTGGAGAGGTGAGGTGGGGAAGGGGAAGCAGCCAGCACAGTGTGTTATCAAGCGATTGAACACGGCAGGCAACTGGACCTCAGGGGACAGTGTTCGAACAGACGCCTCAGAGATGTCCCAGTGGGGCAAGGGAGCTGGGGGCTCCCACCCCTCGTTCCGGGGCACTTCCACACTCTGGCCGGCCCCAGGGTGCAAAAGAGAACGTGGAGGCCAGAGAAGACCTTCCGGCAAAGACGTGCTCGGGCTGGAGTTGCAGGCCAGGCATGTGTGCGGCCGACAAGCTCAGGATGAGGTATAGGGCCCAGTTTGCTCTGCTAGATGGAAGTGTTTATTTTAAGGCCACAGGGGTCCTTAGTGGGCGAGGCCTCCTGGGCCCAGAAAGGACAGCTGTGAGGCGCCCGGCTGTCTTTCCGCAGCGCCTTCTCCTCTCTCTGCGCAGACATGCTGGCCGGGTTTCTCTGTGCACAGGCCACCCCCTAGGAAGTCACAGTCCTCCTTGCCCTGAGCAAAGCCAGGCCCCTGCGCAAATTGCTCCATATCCAGAGAGCCGTCTGCATGATTAGAATTTTCCTTTAAATTGTGTCACTTTTCTAATCTAAATAAACTAGAAGCCTGATGCACGAAATTCGTGCCAGGGGCTCAGCCCCCACCATCGCAGCGGCTGCTTCTGCCTCGGCCCCCGCCGCCACAGCTTCGTCCAGAAGGTCGTCTGGAAGGACATCCAGAAGGGTGTCTGGTCTAATTAGCATATTATGCTTTTATTATTAAAAGGAAATTATGTCTAGGGGACTGTCTAGGGCGGGGGGATAAAATGGACACATATGTAATACCCTTTGTAATACTTTAAGCAATAAAAAAAAAAAAAAAAAAAAAAAAAAAAAAAAAAAAAGGAAATTATGTCATTGCCCTGAGTAGAAAGACAGTATTGCTGTTTTGGTCACAAAAGTAAGCACAACAGGAACAAAACTGTGTCCTTGAAGGAAGCAGGGAGCTGATGCCCCCGTCAGCCCCAGCACAGCCCGCACCAAGGCCTGCCCTGGGTCAGATGCAGCGATTTCACAGTGCAGGGAGGCGATGAAGGTGCAAATGGGACCGGACCCGCTCCTTCATGTGAACTGGAGAGTTGTAGGAGCCTAAGTTCTCTCTCTGTGACCCCAGTTACCTGCAGGCCAGTGGGTGTGCCCTCCGAAGAAATCCACATCACTAACCCAAGAAGACATATGCACCCTCAGGTTCACTGCAGCATTGTTTACAATAGCCAAGACAGAGAAGCAACCTAGTGTCCATCAATAGGCAAACAGATCAAGAAGATGTGATTATTACAGTGAAATATTACTCAGTGAAATATTACTCAGCCATAAAAAAGAATGAAATCTTACTGTTTGTGACAACATGGATGGACCTACAGGATATTATGCCAAATGAAATAAGTCAGACTGAGAAGGATACCGTATGATTTCACTTATACCAGTGTATAGAATCTAAAAACAAACAAAAAACAGAAACAGACTCACAGACACAAAGAAAAGCTGATGGTTTTCGGGGGGTGGGGAGGTAGGGAGGGATAGGATGGCTGAAAATGGGGCCGGGGAATAAGTTTATAACTTGTAGTTATAAAATAAGTAAGTCACAGGGGTGCAATGCACAGCTCAGGGAATATAGTCAATAATATTGTAGTAACTTTATACAGTGACAGATGGTTACTGCTTATCGTGGTATCACTTCATAAGGTATATAAATGTCAAATCACTGTGTTGTACATGTGAAACTAATATTATATGTTAACTATACTTATTTTAAAAAATTAAGTCAGCCTAGACAAGCTAGGCTCTTAGCCCCTGTAGAAGTGGGTGTTGGGGGTGTGCAAAGAGCCCTGAGTTCCTGAGAGTCGACTGGCCTCTGTCCCCCAGTGGAAGTCCCCAGGCCCTTCCACCAGTAGTTCTCTCCCCAGCTGCACATCAGAATCGCCTGGGAACTTGCAAATTCCATAATCGGGGCCCAGACCACCTGAGCGAGGGCGCCCTCACCCCTCCTTGCAGGAGCACCACCCAGGAGGCCGCCTCCCGCTGGGCCCTCAGCTGCCCGGGCCACTCCTGGGTCATCAGGGCCGTAGGTGGGAGGGAGAGTGGCCAGCGGTCTTTCCCTTGTTTTCCTTGCTCCCCCAGACCCTGCGCTCCTGGTGAAATTCCTTAAAGCAGTTCCAGAGGACGTGCTGGTGCTAGTGGCCTCCTACGATGACCCGGGGACCAAGTAAGTGGGGACCTCCCTGCCCTTTCTCGCCCCCCACCAGCCCCGTCTTCTGGCAACTTCTCCTAAGGAAATAGCCAGACAAGCGCATAGAGATGTTCTAGGAAGTTCATTGCAGCCTTGGGTACAACCGTGACGAACGGGACACATAGTTACAGAAATCATGACATGTGGTGACATATGACACCTTTCTATAAATACCTAGGAGGCTATACTGCATCAAACATGGTGATGCAGAAAACAGTTAAGGACATGGAGGAATACTCATCCTTTCGTGTTTTTTATTTCATGTTTGATCGCAGTTTGCATTCAACACTGTTTTGTCTTAGCTTCAGGAGTTCATCCCTTAGTATTAAGTAGGAGGGAAAGCTGGTTACAAAAGAGTTGGTATAATCCCCCAAAACATGGGGGAAAGGACATGAAGGAAATACATTAAAATTTTACAATGATGGTGTTGAGAGGGTGAGGCTGTAAGTAATTTGTGTTACTCTGTGATGTTCCATATTTTCCGAATGAACACGAATTGCATTTGTAAACAGAAGCCAACCGTTCTAACACCTCCCAGCTCACCCAGGGGTCTTCGGGGAGGAGTCCCGCCCCGCCCCGCCCCACCTGCTCCTCCCGGCGACTGGCCTCCCGTGCTCCCCCTTCTCCAGGCTGCGCTGACGTCCTCTCTGTCCTCTGCAGGATGAATGATGAACTCCGGACGCTCTTCTCCAACTTGGGCAGCTCCTACGCGAAGCAGCTGGGCTTCCGGGACAGCTGGGTCTTCCTGGGGGCCAGAGACATCAGTAACAAAAGCCCCTTTGAGCAGGTGGGTTCCTGGCGACTCCCGTCCCAGGGAGTGAGGGGCAGGGCCTGGATGGATGAACAGGCCGGGGTGGCTTGGGAAGGACACACAGGGGAGTGTGGGGAGGGCCATTGGGCTGTCACCCACCCCAGCGGTCAGGGTGGCCTGATGGGCTCACCCCAGAAGGACGTGGTCTGGACCATTTTGCCAGGATATATATAAATTCCTGGGCACGTGGATTAGCACTAACAAGCGGGGGGGGGGGGGGGGGGGGGAAGAAGGGTGCCAGGCAAGCCTGGCTTTGGCACCCCCCCCCTTAGCCAAGCCCCTCCTCCCAGGCCTCAGTCTCCCCACCTGTGAAGGGGAGGGTTTGGACCAGGGGAGCCTGAGGCCCCTTCTGAGTTCCCTGGGGACAGGGTGACATGGGACCAATTAGGGGACTGGGGGGAGCCCACCTGAGTATGTGGGAGGAGTCAGGAGGGGTCCCCCATATAGGACCCACGGTCACTTCCTAGGGTGGCCCAAGGAGAGGGGGTCAGGGAGGCCCCCAGAGGTGGAGTTTAAGGAGCGCTCATAGGAAGGGGGGTCAACAGAGGGTGGGGGGCCCCAGGGAAATGCTTCATCTTCTCCCCTTGTCCAAGGTATCTCCATCTGTGCATCCCCTGCCCAGACAACTCTGAAACCTGAGGGACTGGCCAGGCCTTCCCCAGCGGTGATGAGAACGCTCAGCTCTGCCCAGCTCCAAGATGGGGGGCTAAGGCCAATGATTCAGACATGTAGGGCCACTGAGGGGCACGGACTCTGTCCTGGGGGCAGCGGGGAGCCATGGGAAGCTTAAGAGGGAGAGTGACAAGAGCAGATTGATCATAAGAAAGCCTAGCATTCTGCCACCACTTGCTCTGTGCAGGCACCAGAGCAAGTCCACCCAGGGTCCTATGCTACAGCCACCATGAGGTGGGTACAGTTATCGTCCCAGCTCACGGAGGAGGATCCAGAGCCTTGGAGAGGCTTTAGCCGGTTGCTCGGTCTCAGTGAGCCAGGTGGATTTCTCATCCAGGTCTGCTGCCTCCACAAAGACGTCCTGTCCTGGCTGCTTTCAGAACAGCCGTCCAGGCAGAGCCTGGAGAGCTCTGTGGGTGGGAGCCTTCAGATGGCAGGGAGGAGGCGCTGCAATGGCCAGACACCAGCCAGCAGCCGGGAGGGGCAGGGGCTATGGAGGCAGAGCCCAGAGCGCAGAGTCAGAGGCCAGTGCTGAGGCCAGGGAGGAGGCCAGGGAGGGGGCCAGGGAGGGAGCCAGGGAGGGAGCCAGGGAGGGGGCCAGGGAGGGGTCCAGAGAGGGGGCCAGGGAGGGGAGCCAGGGAGGGAGCCAGGGAGGGGGCCAGGGAGGGGGCCAAGGAGGGGGCCAGGGAGGGGGCCTTGATGGGGCTGCAGGTTTTTGCCTTGTCTGGAAAATGTGGGCCTGGTTCATAGGCATCTGCTTCTAAGAGAATGTATTCTAATTAGAAGTTACTTTTTAAAAATAAGAAATAATAAGAAGTAGCTGGAGATGAAAAAGGAGAAGAGCCTCTATTATACCCTCTGGGTGGAACACAGGAGCCAGGAGCCAGGGTCCCCAGAACATCCCTGTGGGAGGTACCTGGCGGGGGGGGGGGGGGGGGGGGGGACTTTCTAGGAAGATGCAAGGCAGGCGCTGTTCTTCCTTAAAGCACAGCTTCTAGATCTAGCCAGGGGTGGGCAAACTTTTTGACTGGAGGGCCACAATGGGTTCTTAAACTGGACCGGAGGGCCGGAACAAAAGCATGGATGGAGTGTTTGTGTGAACTAATATAAATTCAAAGTAAACATCATTACATAAAAGGGTACGGTCTTTTTTTTCAATAGTTTTATTCATTTCACGCGGGCCGTAGTTTGCCCACGGCTTCTAGACCCATCCAGACTGGGCCGAGACAGCAAAGAGGGAGAGTCAGTGCCATCCTTTTCCTGAAATTTATGATCAGCTGACTGAGACCCATCCCCCAAAAATGAACCAAAGACCATGATGGATGAAAGCCATCGTGTCATTTGATCCCACACCTGGGAACTGGGTTTTAGAGGAGCAGCATCTAGAGCAGGGGTGGGCAAACTTTTTAACTCGAGGGCCACAATGGATTCTTAAACTGGACCGGAGGGCCAGAACAAAAGCATGGATGGAGTGTTTGTGTGAACTAATATAAATTCAAAGTAAACATCATTACATAAAAGGGTACAGTCTTTTGGTTTTTTTTGTTTTTTTTTTTGTTTTTTTTTTTGTTTTTTTTAGTTTTATGCATTTCAAACGGGCCGTAGTTTGCCCACGGCTGATCTAGAGTCTATTCTTTCTTCCTAAGGGTTAGCCACGATTATTCCAACCGTAGATTTTGCCATTTAGTTTTTCTTGCAAAAACTAAGCCTGGACATTTAGAACACAACCTTAACTGACGGTATCCCCTTGGCGCATGTATCATTTATGTGAATTAATAGTACACAGTGGTTCCACCACGTACCAGCAGGGTGGCCGTAAGCAGTTACTTTGGCCCCACGTGCCTCAGTTTCCCCATCTGTGTCACGGGATGATAATAGTATGCACTTCTTAGGGCTACTGTGAGGATTAACTACATAAGACACTTTGTGCCTGGCATAGAGCAAGCATTTAATAATAGCTAGGATGCTTTATTGTTGTTGTTGTTGTTATTATTTTGGATGTTCCAGTGAGGCTGATGGAGAATTTGGGAGAGGGCCTAAACTCTGCAGCCCCACCCCCACTCTTGGTGTCCCCACAACCACCCCATGACAGTCAGTGACTAGGCTCTGGTCCCATCTCTGAAATCTTGGGCAAGTTGCATCCCCTCTGGGGCTCTGTTTGCCTTTCTGTGAAATGGACTAGTAACACCCAGCCCTGTCCACCAGGGGGCAGTGGTGAGAAGGAAGTAAGTGAAAGCATTAGGTTTTAAAGCGCCAGGCGAATGCAGGTGTGAGTTCTGAGCAGTCTCCCATTACCGCTGTTTCTCCCTCTCCTCTCCTCGCCTCTCTAGTACTTAAAGAACACCCCCGACACGAACAAATACGAGGGCTGGCCGGAGCTGCTGGAGCTGGAGGGCTGTGTGCCCCGGAAGGTGTTTTAGGGCTGCGGCTCCTCCTGGCAGCCGCCAGCGGGACTGGATGGAGCTGAAGGACAGCGGGCAGCGGGCAGCGGACAGCGGGCAGCGGACAGCGCAGGGTGAGGCCGGCCCAGCAGCATGAAGGTGCTGAGGATCGCCGCCCTCTCTGCAGCTTCCCCTCCCGGCGAACGCAAGCTCCGATGGGCGGTGGACGATGGGCGGAGGCAGCTCCCGCCTGGAGGTGGCCAGCCTCGGAGGGTCCCTCCGGAGCCGCTGTCGGTGGAGAGAACGGGTGCTGTCCCTCTGGAACTCTGACCGTTGCCCGAGAGAGGGCGGACTGCCCGCCGGGCAGAATTAAATTCTGTTTTTGCTCACGTTGAAGGACCTTTCCAGACACTCGGTGTGCAGCGTTTCTCCCGAGATGGAAATGGTCTCGATTGGGGTTACTTGGGCTCCACGTTCAGACAGGTGGTGACAGCTCCCGGGACCTGGTCTGCAGCCAGGGAGGAGGTCGGTGGCAGAGAGATCTCCATTTAGGCGTGAAAGATGCCGTGGATCCCAGCAGAGGGTGTGAGACCCCCAGGAACAGAGCCGAGGGCCGGGCGCTGAGAACATGTACCTGCTATTGGAATGAGAGGGAGAGGACAGGGAAGGGGGGATCTGGCAGGGGCCTGGAAGGCAGGCCTGGGGGGGGGGGGGTCCCCGCTGTCTTCGCCAAGTACCCAGGCGCAGCCCTTAGGTTTATTTAGAAAGTGAGTCTAGAAAACAGAAGAGAAGGAGCCCGTAAAGACTGTGTGGGAGAGAGTGGAGCGAACCCCAGGGGCACACCCCGGAGATCTCTTCGTGAGCGCCGGGAGCTGGGGTCCTATGCGCCCCACCACCACCACCACCACCCGGTCACCATTGGAGGGCTGCTAGTGCCGTGGTCATCTCAGCTTCCCAGACAGTCCTTGGCCCAGAGCTGCCAACACCAGCCACTGGCGCCCACTGAAGCGACGAGACCGACGAGATACGGTGCTTTCCCCCCTGGGGTCTCTGAGAAGGGCCAGGGGCCCTACACCAAGTCCTGGGAGCAGAAAGCTCTGGCACTCAGGCCCCTGGCATGTGTGGCAGGAAGACTGCAAGGCTGGTGGAGATGCCCACCCTGAAGTGAAAACCCCAAGCAGTGGCCCCGCAGAAGCTGAAGTCCCGAGCCCCTTGGGGTGGGCTCCCAGCTCCCAGCCCTGGGGACAGAAGTGAAGTCCCACACCCCTTGGTGTGGGCTCACAACTCCCCAGCCCTGGGGACAGACCGGCTTCAGATGTGCTGAGGGGACCTGGGGTGGAGAAGGACGGGTGTGGGAGGCTTTGACAGGGCCATGGTGGGCGGGACATGGGCTGCAGGTGCAGTGGGGTCACGATCAAGGTTAAAAGCCAGATGGTGGCTTGAGCAGGATTGGCTGAGGAAGGCGCCCAGCCAGCCACCCAGGCAGCTCCATAGGCCCCCCTCCCGCCCTCCGGGATTAGAAGGGGTGGAGAGGCTGCTGGCAGCCCCAGCCAACCACTCACACAGACACCACGTCAATATCCAATGTCGTACTTGCAGCTTTATAAGCAAACAAATGTGCTCCATTCCTCCCATGTGGTCCCAAGTGGCCAGGCCCCCGCCCACATTGGACGCCAGGTGCTGACAAGGGGCTTCCACTGAACCCCAACACCTTCCTTCCCTGCCCCCAGGACTCACTGAGGAAAGCTGACCCCTGACCGAGCCCCTCCTTTCCTCTCAGCTGACGCACTTGTTCTCATCTGTAGTCGCAAACCACAGCTGGGCCGGCTGGCTCGGCTCCCTGTCTCTGCCGCCTGCTGGTGTGAACAGGTGATGTCTCCGCCCTGAGCCAGTTCCCTCTTTGGTAGATGGGGGATTATATCCGTTTCTCAGGGGTTCAAGAAACTGATAAAATAGCCACATCACCAAACGTTGTCAAAAAATAGAAATAAATAGAAAACTTCTGACCAGACACCTGCTCTGGAATGGAGGTGGCAGGAAGTTTATCACCATAAACCACCTCTGTATGTTTGAATTCTTTTCTTCATGAGCAAGAATACCCCATGAAACTGACTTCTATGCACAGCACAGTACCTCCTGGGACCAGATAGAAGCTGGCACTTTCCCTGCAAGCTCCCCTTTGCTTGTTGCTTCCCCTTCCCCATCCTGCTGCCCGCTCCCTTACCCATGTCCCCAGGGGCCAGTCCTAAATAAGTCACTTCCCAAGAATCCTCTTCCTGGAGCTGGCTTCTGGGGACCCATCCTAAGAGAGGCCGTGGGCATGGCCCCTGACTGGGTCTGAGCCTGGGCCTGGGCCTGGGCCTGGGCCTGGGCTAGGAGACGGGACCACGGGTCTGCAGGAACTGCCTCTGAAAGCCAGCTCTCCATGGGAAAAAGCTCAGAGCCAGGGAGCTGCGCCTGTCGCGGAGCCGGTGGGAGGCACCTGCTGCTGCTCACTGGGAGCACAAGGCCGAGACGCCGGCCATGCACCGCCTCTGCCCCGCCCCGCCCGCGGGAGGCTCTGTGGTCATCCTCCTGGTGGGTTACGGAAAAGGAGCCCAACAGGCTGTCAGTGGCACCACCAGAGCCCACCGGGGAGGCAGCATGCTAGAACCAGCCCCCTGGGCATGCAAAGTGGCCAACATCTGCCAGACTCAACATTGTTCCCAGGGCACTACAGGGACCCCCCATTGCTCAGGTTGGGGCAGGTCAGAGCCCAAGAAAATGGCTGCAGAGAGCTGTCTGTGTCATTGAGCCAGTTTCCTCACACCTCTGTTGTTCCTCACGTGCTATGTGTCAGCAACTAGGTGGCACTGGAGACACTGCAGTGAGGATACCCAGGCACAGTCCCTGCTTGTGGTCTGGGGTGGGGAGAGCAGACCAAGAAGCAGCCTGGCTTGGGAAGGGCCACATTGGGAGAAGGACTGCAGAATCAGGGAAGGCGTCCTGGAGGAAGCTTCGGGAATGCAGAGGAGTTCGCCTGGCAAAGAGGGGAAGGAGGAGTGTGCCAGGCAAGGGAACAGCATGAACAAGGCCTGGAAGGGCAGAGGGCAGGTGATAAGGGCCGAGTGGCCAGGAATGAGAGCCTGAAAGGCCTTGTGGGCTGGGAAAAGGAGCTTGGACTTAGTCCAGGGGCCACAGGGACACTGAGAGATTTAAGCTGGGGAACAGCATGATCAGATTTGCATTTTTTTAAGTCCCTCCTGGCTGCTGTGGGTAGAGGTAGTAGAGGCAGGAAGGCCAGGGAGGAGGCTGGCCTTACCCAGGGGGACAGGGAGGTGGCAGGGACCAGGAGATGGCATGGGGATGGACAAAAAAGGACCAGCCCTAAGGATATTCAGGAAGTGAAATGGGCAAGACTTTGGGATGATTTTCTCATCATCAGGGTGGACATGTCATCATCTGGAATCTCTACAAGCTACTCATGGTCTCAGAATGTGGGGCTAGTATTTCCCTGCCCTCCTGGTCAACATGCCTTTGGTGTCTGCCAGGGGCATGAGGATGGGTGGTGAGGGTTCGCACACAGCAAGCGCTTTCCAGTGGCTGTAGTTCTAGACCTTGCCACTAGGTGGGAGCCCAAGATAGAAAGGGAAGGGCGGCCAGGTTTCCCCGCCCACCAGTTCTTAGGAAAGGTTTTGTGCTTAATGGACTTGCCAATGGACAGAGGGTTTACATCACTGTTATTAACAGCATCGTAACATCAGCACCTGACTTCTATGGAGCATTGCTGTTGTCCAAACATTCTCTATGCAGAGTTTAACATGAATTACTTCATTTCATCCTCACAGCCCCGTGGGCTTGGGGGCCATTGTTATCCCCTTTATACATGAGGAAAATGAGGCTCAGAGAGGTCAAGTCACTTGTCCAAAGTCACACAGCCAAGGAGCTTCAGAATAAGGATTGGCATTCCAGTCGATCTCCATCACTACAGGAAACAGACTTTTCAGAAACCCTTCCCTAAAACTATTCTGAGGTGAGCATTGAGCCCAACCACCACCTCCTCCTTCTCCCCCTGTCCTTCCTCCTCTTCCTGAATGCCGCTGAAGACTTTTGAAAATTGCTCAGAACCTTTGAATCAACATTCTCAGTGCACACAGTGCAATATACAGATCTTATAACATAGAAACACACACCTGAAACCTATATGATCATGTTGACCAATGTCACCCCCCAATTTTTTTTTTAATTTTTTTTATATGTATTTTATTGATTTTTTTACAGAGAGGAAGGGAGAGGGATAGAGTTAGAAACATCGATGAGAGAGAAACATCGATCAGCTGCCTCCTGCACATCTCCTATTGGGGATGTGCCCGCAACCCAGGTACATGCCCTTGACCGGAATCGATCCTGGGACCTTTCAGTCCGCAGGCTGATGCTCTATCCACTGAGCCAAACCGGTTTCGGCCCCAATTTTTTTTTTAAAGACAGAATCAAAGCACCCACCACCACTGCTTTGGGAGAGGTGGGGAGGGAACATCATTGAGAGATTTGGATCTCCTCTTCAAACCCCTCCCACATCTCTCAAGCTGGCTTCCTTCTACCAAGTCACGGGTCAAGAAGGAGCCGTTGTTCATCCCCATTTTGCAGATGGGGAAAAAGAGGCGAAGAGCTGTGAGTGGGCCACACAGTGAGACAGGGCAGAGCTGGACCTGGAACACCTGGTCCTGGACCCTTCACCACCAACTCCGTGCCAGGCCCTAGACGAGGCTCCGAGACCGCCACCCCACTTTTCCCGCCCGTGGCATCAGGTCCAATGCTGCATTTCGGACCCACATCTCGCCAGAAAGGCTTCAGACTTTCAGCCAATGGAGGCCCCCAGTCAACCAGGCTTCCCGTGCAGCTCAGAAGTCATATTTCAGCAGGACTCCAAGCAGATGGGGGGGTGGAGGGCTTAATAAATATGAAATTCCTTTTAACTCCTCCCACCCCACCAAGAGCCAAGCTGGTGGGTACTTTTGGGATGGCTGCCAAAGGGGCTGGACCTTCAGGTTAACTTGCAGCATTTTTACTGCTGGTCTGACTGCCCATTCAGTCATTGCCCTTGACTACTGGGGGGGTGCTCTTCTTACTACGGGAAATCAGAGGCTGGGCCCCAGCCATGACTGGAACAGAAAGAAAGGACAGGGCGCAGCAGCAGCAGGGGCTGGACCGGGAGAAGGAACAGAAGGAAGGAGCCACACTTTTGCTTGGCTGGAGGAGACGCGGGTGTGGAGGGACGCACAGCAACAACAATAACAACAGCAGTAGTCATGGCTGTGCAGGGAGCACTTGCGATGAGCCGGGGCTGTGTTAGGCTCTCTCCATGCTTCGGCTGTTTTATTTAATCCTCCATCATTTCCCATCCACTCCACGGTGTT